TTGTGGGGGGGTGTGGGGGGTTGTGGGGGGTTGTGGGGGAGGGTGTTGTTCAAGAGCCACACACCCTGCCCTTGTTCTCTGAGACAGTTTCGGGTTTCAGCCGCAAAGGCCAGTCTAGCTCCCCGTAGATGCGAGCCGATTTAGCAGCGGTTGAGGCCTCTCGGATTGACGAAACGAAAGGAACCTCTTCGAATCGTTTCCAGATATATTGCGTTGCACAGCGTATTATACCTGGCCCTGAGTCTGTACCGAAACGGATACAGGCTGGCAATATATATATATTTTTTTTGCCGCGACGGTACGCCTCTAGAATTTGAATTGGAAATAATTAAGCATTATTAATAATTATTAAGTATTATTAAGATTATTATCATTAGATAGTGTTACTTTTTTTTTGCTTTAATATTATCTCTCGGTCGAAGTTTCATAGAAGACTCACTCTTACTCTCTCGATGATGTTCTTCTTGGAAGTCGAAGGCCGTCCTGGACCTTTTTCCCTCTCGAGACCGGGTTTGGGCGATGTTGAGCCCGAAGATCGGACCGGGGGGGAGGTAAGCCAGGTTCGTGCCTGTCGCCACGGCTCGGAGCCCGATTGCAATTGCGTCCTCGGCCGCCTGTTGCCGCTTCAGCGCCACCTGTGGACGCATTATTAAATATTTAAATAATTAATATTTTAATAATTAATATTTTAATTTTGAATACTCTTGAATAAAATTGTAATCTAATTTATTTTAATTTCTATGTAGAATAACTTTAATATTTATTATTATTATTTAAATTATGTTATGAATAAGTTGAATATTTTAAATTATCCATGCTGCAATCGAGGAAGAAATGTAAACTTTTGGTCGGCAGAATCTGAAATTTCTCATGCAGAGAAATTTTGACGACCTTGCGTTTCAAAACCGCATGTGAGTGCTCTTCACTAGATTTCCGTACTAAAATAAAAAAAAATGTTATTAGTCGTAATGGCAGGAAAAGCGTCACGGTCATTACAGAAATGACCGGCGAATTTATCATTTATCTGTAACGTTACGCAATCGTTACACCGCAAAGTCATGCAAGTGACAAAAATATTGATACAAAAATGTAACCGATGATTTAGCGCTGAGTCACAGTCGCAATTGCAAGATTTTAAACTTTTACTGTAAGGGCGTGGTACTCGATTTCTCGTATTTGAACATCCATGCAGTTTTGCGGTAAGAGTAAATTTATAATTGACCATTTCCAGCGATTGCTGCTCTATGCGTCCGTTCCCTGAGTGGAAACTGATAATTGCTATTGATTTTTCTGTAGAAAACAGGTTTCCTATTGTTCAACAGTATATTTTATCTTAATTTTTTTTTAATGAACTCACGATTTCCCACTTGAAGAAACCTCCAGTTTTTCAAACGAAAGTTTTTTTTTTAAGGTTATGATAAAAAAAAATAGGGCAAAGACACTGATACGTTACGGTGCTGTTATGCTACACTTCTGGTAACCTCGGTATTGTACACTCTGCCCAAAAAATGTTTGACGGAAAATGAACAAATGCAGTAATGGGATCATTATGTTACGTTACATTAAAAAAAATGAAAAAGTTTTAATCGGTTCCCCAAAGCAAGTGAAATATAATTTAGTCAAGTTGCAACGAAGTTAGCTGTGCTCTTATCCGTCCATGCTGCACTTAATGTTTGAGGGCAAGAAAGTTTTTGGACTTAAGAGTTGGCGTTTTGCAGAACTCGGATCGGCCCTGATCCTGAATTATTTTGCCGCCGCCGGAAATGCTGGATTCGTTCACGGATTTCTTAATTTGGGAGCATTGATACTGAATGTTACGGTCTGAAGAATGTACTCTGAGTACAGGTTTTTGTACCTATAGGTGCATATTTCAAAACTTACTTTTACTTGTCCTGCTGTAACTTGCTTCTATTCGTTACATATCTGCAATTTTCGCTCGAAAGTGTCAACTGTACCTGAGCGGCCATGACGCGCTGTCGCTCGGCGATGAGATTGCACTTGATGCACGCGCAGTCCCGATATTGGCAATACCGCTTGTGGCCCTTGAGCCAGGAAATGAGTCCATGATTCCGGCACCGGGCACACTTCGGCTTCCGAGCGCCCTTCTCCGTAGTCGGATGCGCCACCATCTGCAGCGACGTTTCCATCTTTCATTCACTCCCCACGTAAACTGTTGTCCGTTCCGCCTTGCATGTAACGTCCTCGGTCCTCCCACCCAGGCCCCGCCCCGGAGGGAAGACCGCTGCCTCCCATTGGTGGTTGCTGGACCCGGAAACTCGTCTGATTGGTTCGAGCCCTGTTGGCTTGCCCCTTGAATGCTTTCTCATTTCTTTCTCCTCATTATGACACAGAAGTTAACGGAATGTAGTTTTCGTATCATTTCCCATATCGTTATCCTCTCTATCCTACTCGGGGGCTTCCTCGAATAGTGGAATGATCACGGTCTTTGAAGTACCTGAGGCGATAGTCTGATCTGTGCTAATACGTACTCATCGCCTCTGATGTAAATTGAGTTATATCCGTGAATTTTGGCATAAGAACTTGCATTGTGAGCAATGCAATTGGTTAAAGTTTCACGCTCGTCGAATGAATCATTACGCAGAAAATTCAGCAAACCCCCAACTGAAAAAAGCTAATTTAATACATGTGTTGCTCGATCGAGTTGATGACGTTGGCAAAAATGTCCTTAAGCGACAGTGCTTCGGGATTGCTTAAATGAGGCACTCAACTATGAAGCCAAAGTCAAACAGTGCGGGCAAAGTTCAATTGTTATGAACTTCCCTTCTCTTTTATGCGAATTTCATTTGCGCAACGAATCATCTTAGGATCTTCAATTCCTTTCATGTCGCTGCTTTATTTTGCGACGAGGATATCAAGTCCACAAATTTCAGAACATGACGCATCTTGATGCCATTAAATTCTGTACAGTAAAAAAAAAAAGTAATGCCATGTTGTAGATTTGTAG